TAATAATATTTTTTATATTTTATTTAAAATAAAAGGAAAAATTTGTAACATTTTCTGTTACTGTTCTTGTGAGTGAACGCGGTATTCTTGAATCTTGGTGTAAAACTCTATCTCGTAATACCCTCTGCTCTACGTTTTTCAACTTAGAGGCACTCTGCGCTATTTCACTGCGGTATAGACCTACCTCAAGGAAAAAATAGAAATTAAAGAAAAGAAATAAATAAAAAAATTAAATAAATAAATAAAAAAAATAATCAATAAATAAAATAAAAAAGAAAAAATCCCTTAATAATTATGTAGATAGTTTTAATATCCGCGTTGTGTGTTTATCTACTCTTTAATACGTTATTTATTTAGCTCAAGAGAAAAATAGGAAATAAAAAAATTCAAAAATTGTAAACAATTCTCTTAGTGAAATAAAGATTAATTGAAAAATTCCATGTTTTTGGTTCCGCGTTGTGTGCTTATTTGCTGCTTCCTTGCGCCTGCAGTATAATTATATTGACTTCAAGAAAAAAAATAGAAAATACAGAAATAACACAATTTAAAGGAATCCCGTAATAAAACAAGTCGATGCAAGGATTTTTATATCGGCGTTGTTGCTTGTTTGTTCGCTGTTTCGCTGCGGTGTAAGTTTTAATTGAAGAAAAAATTGAAATTAAATAATAATAAAGCAGTTTAAAGGGATTTCTTAATAAAAAATGTCGATACGATATTGTTTTAATATCGGCGTTGCGTGCCTGTTTGCAGCGCCGTACATGGCGGCGACAGACCGGATGGTCCCGTGTTTCTCCCTGCAACTACAGAACTCGGCGGTGCCGGCGCGCAGCAAGAAGGGCCGGTGTCCGGCGCCGCCCAAGGAGGCGGCCGCCTGCGTCTGGTCCAACTGCCGACGCGGCTGTCACAGCGATTACCACTGTGCGCGCAACCAGAAATGCTGCTACGCCGGCTGCAACTCCTTCGTCTGCACCAAGGCCATTCCTGAGGTGTCCTCCGTGTCCACGGATCTGTTCTACTATTGAATTGTTAATTGCCTTGAAATTGTTGTTTTTTCGGTGATCCTGTATTTTGTTGCGGAGAAGCTGGTTGCACTTTTATAAAAATAGCGGCAGGAAAAATGACTGTTGCCGGTATGTATAACTGATTTCACCGATATTTTGTTGCTTTTTTGTTTCTATGAAACGCTGATATTGTTGTACAGAGAAATTTGAAAAATAATGGGAATAATTCAGTAATAAATTGATGCTATTCAATGTCACGCAGCAGCTGGAATGTAAACGGGACAACTACAAGGCAGGGTTAATAACGGTTGGAAGCAACGGCGTAACAAGTATACCGGTCCTTGATCACAATTGGAATAATTTATCATTAATAGTCACCAGCAGTATCGATTGAAGTGACTGAAAATCTTTTTTTCAAAATTGTTTGATAATTTAAAATTTAATAATATTTCTGATAGTTTTATTTCTGATAATTTTCAAAATCATTTTCGCTTAAAATTTGAAATTGAATAAAATAACATGAAAGAAAGTACGCACGGAAATGAGAAACAATGAACAAAATCTGTTTCACGCGGGATAATTAATTTGGTTAATTAAAGACTGCTTATTAATTGATTAATACTTTATTACGTGCACGACATATTCCTGTACGTCAGGAACGTCACATGTTTTCGGGCGACCGGATTGTTTTCTAAAGGAAGTAAGCGTTTTGTGTGGCAGTGCCGATCGTAAGAACTTTTTACTTTTTTATAATAATTGCCTACACTACTAATACGATGTCAGGCGGGTACCTAATTAAGTAAGTACTTCAGTAATTTTGGCTGTTGATTGCCGTAAGCCGCAGACTTACAAATTGTTAGCCGCTATCTCAGGCTCTCAGTCGGCTATTGCAATGTCACTGTTGCCTAGGCCGCTGTTTCGGAATTTTATAGAGACTTTCGCCGAAAGTACGAGTGAAAGTACGTACATACGCTGACAACATCGGATAATAACGCATAATACATTGTTATCATAATAAATATTATTAGCATCATTATTATTGCATACTTCTATGGATCTTCCGTGGTTTTCGCGAGTTGGCTTGCCGTTTTTTGCCAGTACCGACATATGGAATTTTGTCGATATTTTTCTGTGTGTCAGTGTGCGATTCTCCCGGTGAAATTTTTATTTTTTATTGGCTTGATTCTCTCGTCATCTTGATGGACTTTATAAAGATTTTTTTGTCGTGACCTTTAATTCTGCTGATATCACGGAAGACAGGGCGCTGTGAATAATTTGTCAGCTGAGCGGCCGCCCGGGTACGTTGTGTAATTTCGTCGCTGCTGCTCAATAAACGCTGAACCGAATGTTTTTTTCAGCAGCGTTTATTCCTCGTATTTCCTTCATAATTCAAACTGTGCTCCAAATCGGTGACGTTCACGGCCCAGGCCACGATGGCCGAGGGCCCCGGGGAGTGTCCGGAGAAGCCGCCGGACAGCGGCGGCGACGGCTACAAAATCAAGCACTCCACCGAGTACCATCTGGCCAGTCAGGACGGCGCCGCCGGGGCCGGCCACTTTACCATCACCTTCCCGGATCTGGACAGCCTGCGCTCCCCGCATCCCAACCGCATGGGTGAGCAGTTGAAGCTGGAGCGGGGGGTGCTGGATCTGCTGACGCACTACCAGCTGGCCTGCATGGATTCCAAGGACGGCGATTTTATGACGTGCCGGGCGATGTATACGTTTCAGAAGGACGCACAGGAGCTGCAGTCAATGGCGCTGAATGATTACGGCCAGGGAAGGCTGCAAAGCGTGCGGGTGGCCACGACGGGGCATGAGATTGCGCCCATACCCGCCTGGATGGACAACGGCATCAGTCTGCAGATGTTCTGTAAGACTGCATTTCTTCTTATTATTTCGCTCAAATTAACTTTTTTTACTTACAGCATCAAATTTTTTCTCCCTGCAGTATTTCCGGCCTAATTATTTTGTTAAATAAACAGGGAATTTTTAGCATTTGCAAACTATAAAAGTATCTATAAGATATGTACAGTTATAAAGGAGCATTTTTTCACATAGAAAATACTAGTAATAAAACTTTAGTTTAAAGGTTCAAATTACAGTAATAAAGGTTGTGAATTATAAATTAAGCAAGAAGAACAGGCATCATTAATTTAAAATTATTATCTGCGTTTCTGAGGTAATTCTGTAATATTTTTTGAACTGCAAGGTTTCACTTCTGCAATAATTTCAACACAAAAAAATATAAAAAAGTAAAATATTTAGGAAAGTACTTAATGGTAGTAACAGGTGTCTGAAAAAAAAGTAAAGTAAATAAAGGTCATCCTGAATTGTTGTGCAATTGAAAAAGCGTAAATTGTTAATAATTATGGTTGATCAGAAATATTGTTTAAGAATTAAGAGCAAGTACTCTTATACGAAATGATCATATTACTTGTGGCTAATTAGTAACGTCAACAAAGATACGGTATTAATTTTTTAAGATTTATCAATGGCTGTACCGTGTACGCGAATGCTTTCATGGATAAAATATAAGCAAAATGTAAGTTGGTTAAAATGATGTAATTGAATTCATTGTAGAAAATTCCGCATGGACAATCCACAAGATTTATTGACCGCTAATTAGAATTTGAGTGCAGTTCATTAAACATTTTTTATATGATTATACCAAACAAACAACATAATTTTAGAAACTGAAAAATTTCCTCTGGTGATGGTCTAGTTTTGATTTTTTCAGCTAGTCACAAAATTAACGGCCTTTCCTTTTATTATGACACTGATATTAATAAAGGTTATCAGCGCATTCGATTTGCAGTTCAGAAAAAGTGTACATCAAAGCGCGGCACCCAGTCGACGCCGGGTGGCGACAACAAGCAGGGCTACAAGATTCCCTGGCGCGCCAGTATTCAGCTGGAGCGCGTCCCCGACAACTGCATCCTGACGGCGGTGCAGTTGGCCTTCATCAACTCGGACCAGGCCACGGGCAGTCCCAGTGTGCAGATCGAAATCTCCTCCACCAACGCCACCAATATGTACTTTGTCAACGATAAACTACGCAGCATCAACGGCCAGACGTACTGCGAGTGCTACGCACGCGGAGCTGGGACTGTTCCGCGACGCCTACTGCTTCGTCAGTATGCGGGTGCCATTGCGCCGCTTCCTGCAGGAATTGTTGGGCGGATTCCGGCGCACCATTCCCGAGTATACAACAGCCACGGCGGCCAGCGCTATCGCGGCCGACCGACCCGAGACGGTGGCGCTGGAAACCCGCCAGGTAATAATTGAGGCGACAGAATTAGTTTTTACGAATGGTGATACAGATTTTATTTGAACTCCGACGCTATTTATTTCTCCATGTTATTTTCGTATTTTTTTAATCCCTACGTCGATTTCAGGGCACAGGTTCGCAGCTGTCGCAGGCTGTTTTCACTTCTTGTCACAATTTTTTGGCGATTTCAAATCTCTGTACCTTCCAACCGCCGAATTATTTTCACAACATTCGAAGGCATAACGAAATGATAAATTAGAATAAATTCTTTAAAATAAAATTTTAATGGCTCTGTAACACTTTAAATACGTATTGTTATAAATTTAATATTACAATTTAATTTTAATTTACGAATTTAATTAAATTCGCTTTACAGTAAATTATGTATGCATAATTAGTCACATAAATTGAATTCGTTTTACATTTTAGCAGGCGTACTAGCACTTTTTTCCTCGGACCGTCTGATCATTTTACCTAACTCTAAAGCGGTGTTTTATTCAGTCTGCCCGAAAACTGTTTTTTTTAAGGCAGCTGTATTACCAACTCTTACTTATAATATAAGTTCGTTCGATACGAGTCATTTACTAGAGTTTCAGAAAAAGAAACATGTGGCGGAACGGGAATATTGTCTTTAATTTGCACATACGGAACAGAAAGCAAAATGTAAAGGTCATCAGTACAGCTAATCTTGTCCACTGAAAGTCACTAATATGCTAATGCCCTTTCCATTGTGGCTAAAATTTTAATGGTGAAGACCGTAAAGTGATGCCCCTTTGCCCACAGGGGACAACCGTTTTAAAGTTCTTTCATCACTCAGTTTCTCCGCCACCTGTCCGACACTTACTCTCCCACGTGTACATTCTTTATGAACACAGAATCGCTTAATGGCGCGTGCAGCGATAATTTACGGAAAAGGAATTAGTGTCTTCAACTGCATCCGGTCCTCATGTTATGGTCGTTGTTTTCGCAGGGCAGCATCCGGACCGAGCGGAAGGTCCTCGTCACCATCTGCCCAAAGATGTGCGCCATCTTCGCCAAGGGCGAACACGGCAAAGTGGCCACCTGGGAGATGGACTACAGCAAGGACGTGGTGGAGTCCGTCGTCGGCTCCACCCCTGCCAACAAATGCGCCAAACCAAAACCCCTCTCTGGCGAACCGCGCCGCATCGCGCCTTTCTTCCTGTACGAAACCATGAAGTTCTCCCTCAGCTGGGATATCCCGCAGCTGAAGCTCTGGGCGCAGGTGGCGTTCCTGGAACGTCTCTGCTACCCCGGTGTCGATCTCGAGCAGATCCCGGTCCTGGATGCGGTGCGCATCGTGTGTGACTACGCTGAAACGGAGGAAGTCGGGAGCCGGATGATCCTGTGTGGATTAGTCATTGTGCTGAATATTATGCATTCCTGTACCGCGCTGAATGACTGTCATGCGTTGAAAGATCTGGAACGGTTGATGGCGCCGAAACGGACGCTGTGGAAGAACGTCATCAAACCGGGGAAGCTGTGCCCGGACAGCAGTGTGCAGGTGAAGACCGCCGGGAAGACGGTATGCGTGCCGGTGAATATGGGGTTCTGGGTGTACCAGTTGAAGTGTAAGATACAGGGCACGGAGTGTATCCCCGTGGATCAGCAGCGGCTGTGTTTCAACGGCCGGGAGCTGAGCGACAACATCAGTCTGGCGGATTACGGGATAACGAAGGAGGCCGTACTGACGCTTATTCCCAAAGTGAAAGGCTGCCAGTAAAAGGGAAGACACGGCCGGCAAGATGCGGAACGGTACCAAGTGCCGCTGGTGTTTGGTCAAGCAGCCCGAGTTGTATGAATGGGTTCTTGGTTAAATTTGTCCGTCATGATAATGGCAGTCCGCTTCTCAACGAGGATTTTAATTTTATTTTTTTAACTTTTCAACGGTTAGTGGTTGTGGCATACTTTGATCGATGATGTCCTCCTGAAACAGCTTTCTTACCGGTGTTTCGTAAAGCGCTTTTCATCCAAGAAGCATGCCGGACAGAAGCTTAGCCTGGTTGATTTCAGATTATGGTGATTTTAATTTTTAACTATGTTGTACGCGATCTGTGTTGGCGGCAGCTGTACCAGAACAAGTCCAGTAAATTCGTTTCGTAAAGCGCATGGCACAACCACCGTAATAATTATCGACATTGCTTCCACACTACGTAGGTAATCAGGAACTACTTATCGCACAGAAAAACTGAGAAAATCAAGTGGAGTTTAATAAAGATAAGTGATAACTGCTCACCCACAACGCGGCTGATTTCTAACTCGTAGCAAACAGATGATCACTGGTCAGGTTTTCAACTTCGAACAAATAGATAAAAATGATAAATGTACGAAAGGTTGAGACTTGACTAAGCACAATGTTTTTATTATAATTTTATAGCATTTTTAAAAACAATTTTGTGCACAACATCGTCGATGTTACAGGTTCAACCTTGATCATCCAAAACTGCCAAGGAAAACTTGTGCTGTTCAATGGAAGTACGAAAAAGCTTCGGTAGTGTGATTAGGATACCTCGGTTGTGTTAGGTAGTAGATAATTCATATGTTCACTTTCACGATGGACATAACCTGGAAAGAAGCAGACGTGTAATGATAGCCTGAGGATTATTAATTCGTGCGTGTTAAGATGATTAGTGTAGTGAATCGGAACATGGGACAAAGTTTGCACTTGCACGGAAACCATCGCTTTCACCGATTATCAAACACTTCTTTGTACTGCCTTCTGACATGACAAATATTTAGTCATATATTTAGTCATGTTATAGTCAAATATTTTCCGCACTTAATTAAATCTGCACATAAGTATCATACCTGCACAAATTAAAATTATGCAATCAGTGTATGTAAATAATAGGTATCTGTAGGATGTAGTTAACTTGAGTTGTTTAAATATAGACTAAAATATATGCGAGTACGATGGTGGAGCCGTAAACTTTGATGAAAATGGAGAGAATAAACCCTGTAGCATGTTGTACTGCAAAATGCCGATTACATGTTAATATAGAAGTACTTATCCTTATATGGGCATGCGATGATTGTAAAACTTTGACAGAGATAATTATCTCTGTTTTTGTTTTTCATTAACTTCTGTTTTTTCACTTATTTCTATTTTAAAAAATACAAACAAGTGAAAAACAAAAATTAATGGAGCTGTTTAAATTTTGTCAAAACGGTAAATATGTACAGTAAACACACTGTACATATTGACACACACACACATAAGTATACATATTGTACATATTGTACACAATGTACATATTTACTGTAACTGTACAGATTTACTTACTGTAAGTCTCCTGTCTCCATTGACTCACAATAAAAAATTTTACAGCATTTTTTTAATGGTGCAGGAAAAGGTAAACAATTTCACTTACTGTGAATAAGAAAGAAAATAGCAAAAGGTAAATGCAATATAATTGTGTATCACTTCAATTATTTTTTAACAACAGGAAGAATGATCTGTACTAGCAAAAGTGTGTACATTTTTGTAGTTGCATCATGCACGTGGGCTACGTGACGTATCATACGTAGATTGCTGCGCGCACTTTTGATCTAGATGCCTCAGACTATTCTGTCCCAATAATATGCTGAAGTAAAATTTCGTAATTCGCAGTAGTTGATGGCGTTCTTTTGGGGTTTCTTGGGAATTAATAAGATTTGGCCTTGTATTGCACTTACCCTTATACTGGGTGCAACGGACATGTTGTAGCCAACCGCAGCTTTTAAATCGTAGGGAAAACTGCAATCCGTTCGGGCATTCCTGCTGTACACTAAACCCGAAGTTACAGATATAATATTTCGTACAATCCGTTTTGTCGGGAAAGTAGCCAAATCGAGATGGGCATTTAAATTTTGCCTCGGACAATAGTGTACCTGCAAATAAACACAAGACTGCCGAAGCATTTTTTTCACCGCATCAAACAACGCTTTTGCTGTTCGCGCTGCACCAGAATTACAGTATAATTTGCGATAGTTTGTATTACTATTTTAAAGTTCATACAAAGTAATATACATAATTTAAATTACAAACACGCTCCGGCCAAATGAAGTTCGTAGAGTGTGGCGACCTACCGACTAATAACAGACCAAGTATGGTCCAAAATCCAGAGGCACCGTCCATTTGGTCCGCGTTACAACTAATTTCCCGTTCAGCAAATTATCATGTACAGTTACATCTGCAGTGCATACGCTTTTTGAACAGTAAGTTAAAGAAAACAAGTGATAGATTAAAGCCGCAGTGTTTCACCTTGCTCGCTGGCGTGGGTTTCATACACGACGTCTGTTAAGTTAATATGATAGCGCTTATGCTATGTACAGTAATGCTAGTAAGCCTGCGACAAATAACCGATTCTCTACTGCGGCGATTTATTGTACGGTTGTCTCGGTAAAATGGTATTGCTATGTTCAGTACCTTCACCGAGAATGCCACGAATCTGCTAAGACGGTCGCTTGCGTTACTGTAGTCGCTGGACGAAATTGCAGCACGAGACAGGCACCAGTTGATCAACTGACGAGTCTAGTATATGGAAAACGACGCACACGCTGCGTGACGTTCTAAGTAAAGAGATTCCTGGCAAAGTGCTGACAGCGGCCGGACCTGAAAGTGGTGCAATTTCGTCTCGCGGCTACAGTACGTAATATAACAGCCAACACTGGCCTTTCTTATCGTCAGATACAATGTAATACCGGTCACAATGGGTGCCAACTTATGATATTTGTACTAGGCATTCAGGAAGGCGTTACGGACGGTTTCGGCTGAACGTTATGGAGTTTCTGGGAGATTCGTCATGTTTCATTTAAGGCCCTTTGCTGCAGTTTGCAGACTACTGTCGTCATACTGTCAACCAAAAATTTAAAATTTTCTCTTTTTTTGAAAATTAGAATTCCGAAAAACATTTTATCCACCGGTTCAGGTGTGTATACAGTGCAGATACACACAGTCACACACTGGTTATCACTTTCGATAGAAATCAAGCTAATATTACGTATCTGTGCTTACTGTCTTTGCTTGTGTCAAGCAACAAATAAATATGAGTTATATGACTGGGCTTGTAACCACTAATGAAAGATTAGTATCACTGTAAAGCAATGATAAATATTCCTCATTTCATGTTCATGTTCTATTATTTAAGTTGTTTCATATGATTGATTAGGTGTAGGTGTATTAAACTCTTGTAAAATCTGCCAATAAGCGCGGATCAGAAAGACGTACAGTTGGATAAATTAAAGTAACTTTAGGCTGTCTACCAAAAGCACATCTGCTTACCGATACACTACATAATACTCGTACCAGGTAAGTTTTTCCAGAAAACAAAGTTGCTCTATATGTGTGTAGAGAGTCACTGTGTGTATCTGTGACTGTCTGTGACTATTAGCCACCGCATACCACAGAAGTTTTTAGGAAACATGCTCCACATAATTTTAAAAAAGTACGTCTTCGTCCGAAGCACTTACTGTTTTAAGTATTTTAACGAAATGATGACTTATTGTTAGCTTCAAATTTCCATCATCAGCTCACAAAAATTATTTATAACCTGCAACTGAAGGCAATAGTAACCAGTTATGGCATGCTGGGCAAATAATTTGACGATACGAAACATAGGGTCACAAGAAGAAAACAAATATATACGCCAGCAAAACATTACACAAAGAGTTTCTGTAATTCTATAGCCAAGTATTTAATATGTAATTTTATTACACCAAGCGCAGACGCGTAATCTGTTTAAAATTTTCTTTAAAAACGAGAACAGTTGCCCAAAGCTTTGATCTCCTTTTCTGTCTCTCTCTTTAACATGGTCCGTCACTAGCGCTGTAATATGTGCAGCTATGAGGCTTTCTTTGAGGTTTGTTGAAACTACTATGGAACAATTTACAATCTCTTTTATACCGTGATATCGATATTGCCGCCGTAGCGCACTAGTACAAAAATCACCACAAACCCGGCCAACAACCCCACGCTCTGGATAATCAACATAATCACGCCCTCTTTCGTGCTGCGCTCCGTGGCCTCTTCCGCTGCTTCCGTCATTTCCGGTAGCATGTGTACCAACGATATGTACAAGAACATCCCGGCGGACACGGCAAAGATCCACGGCCCGGCGTCGGGTAGGTCGCCCAATAAAATACCCACGACCAGACCCAGAAAACATGTACAACCCGACAAGAAATTGTAGGCTAGCGCTTTACGCAGGCTCATGCCGGAATTAAGGAGAATAGCCAGATCGCCCAATTCGTGGGGGACTTCTTCGCATAGCACCGCTACGGATAGCGAGATCCCATTCCAGATGGAGATGGAGAAGGCGGCGCCGACGCTGATGCCGTCCACACTAATAAAACAACATTCGTTAAAGCTGATCAGTACTGTACATCAGTTTATCATTTGATTTTAATTAGCAGATGAAAAAAAACTATCTAGGAGGTTTGGGTGGTGCTTTCATGGTCCGAACAGTGTGCTTACAAATTGTGTCTGCAAAAGAAAGGTTATGGGAAATTTTACACAAAAATCAATGCGATAAACGGAACGCCAATTACAATCCGTCACCGGCGATGATCATCCATGCGACGGTTTTGATGGGATTGTCCGACAGCTCCTTCGGATCGATATTGGCGTGGCTATGCCGGTGGGCGTGGTCATGGTGTTCCTGCTCCTCCTTCTCACTAATCGGTAATGAAGTGACGCTGTCTGTTTTTTAAAAAAACAATAACTGTACGAATAGGATTGGACAAGCAGTGTTAAAGATGTCTCACTCATATTCAGCGTGGCTGCGCTCATGGTCTTCGCCGCCTTCTGCTTCTCCCTTCTACGTTTCCGACACGTCACCGCCATTTTAGATATCCGTTCGGCAAGCAGGAAGAAGCAGATGGCCGCGACGATTACTGCGGCTTTGCCTAGAAACCGCTCCAATTCCTCCGGGGTGTCGCTGGACAAATGGAAGGCTTGCGGGATGAGGTGAAAGATGGCGCTGCCGCACAGACAGCCCACGCCCAGCCCGACCATGCCCATCAGGAACTGGTGGTAGAAGTGAGCTTTCATGATGGGCAGGAACAGGACACCCACCACCGAACCTGTCCAGCGGCAACAAAGAAATGGTTTATGCGTTTTCTAACTAGATGCCTCAAAAAAAGAAGGTTACCACTGCAACTGTAACACTAAAACTCATCGGCCTACGAGCGCCTGCTGTGCGTAACTACTGACTAGAAGGTTTTCTTAGTTTTTAAATAAAATAAATTGGTTAGAAATAAAATCATTTAGTCTAAAATTGCAGAAGCAAAGTCCCACAAAGTCTGTTTTGGCTCAGACTCGCCTTTAAAATTATGTGCCTTTCACAACAAGGTTCAAGAATATCGGATGATAGCGTGACTTAAGGGCGCGCAAAATAGCGCGTAAACTCAGTGGCAATTTTAATTCGCGATAATTTAGCAACCGGATGCTACGCGTATAAACGATTTTTAGACCAATAATAATATATACAAATGATTTTAAGTAGAAAAATTATGGCTCAAAAGCAAAAGCTTTCTTGGATGTATACGAACCTGGTACCATGTGCACGGGCCATTTCTCTTGAACAAATTAACGTACTCTGTACCTAATGATATCAGAAGAACAGCCAGTGTCCCATAGCCCCATATTTCCGCTTCGGTCGGTACCCGGTGATGGGGCGGCACCACGGGATCGACGATGGAGGATGTATTATTCAACCACGGCATGCAAACGTTATGGTACGTGAACTGACAGATATTGGACGCGTCGGCAGATTGCCATGCGGACAGTAAATGGCTGGCGTTGCAGCCGCTGATCGGATCCATTGTCGGCTGCAGCTATCCACTTAAGGAAGTATGTCGTTTGAGTGTTTGTAAACACCGCGATCCTTGAGTTTACAGTTTGTATGCGGACTGACAGACAGTAATTTTACAACGCGGCGCTGTTGCTTGTAGACTGACAGTGGAAAGCCACAAACTGCAGACAATGACACGATAACCTGCACTATGCATGGGCTGAAGTTTTATTGGTAATAAAACTTGGCAGCTGATAAGTATAACAAAGCCGGCTGATCAACGTGCAGCGTGCCGCTTCACGGCATCAGCCGACCGATCACATAATTGGAAATACTGAGTATTCCCTACAACTGATAATAGCTACAAAATCGTTCACCCCGTTACATGCAAAATATGTTAAAGATTAAGCGCTTGGAAAATCATATTGCTGTTTCTCCTACCGGTCATTCTACAATGTAGACAAGATTATATTAATTTCGAAGAACATTGATGTTATTGTTGTCAGGGTTGTACATGTACTGTACTTGTGTTTCTTGACGTTGCCCTTCTACGATCCTGCACAAACTTAATAAGTACTGTAACAAACCCATTCACTAGCTGTGGTGAATAATGCGACACGTAGTTTGGTAAAATAGTAATAAAGCACTTCGACGTTTTTTGCGGTTGCGCCACAAGATTTTGCATGTGAAGCATTCAGCTGAACTGCCAGAATAAAGGCAGGTGATGGAAGTTATCGCCTTAGGTCAACATTTTCAGTTGATAATAATGTCACTATTCCATTTATACACTTTTTCCTAAAATACCAAATACATGCAGATGCAGTATATTGTTCACTCTTGTCAAAATAAACCAACATTATTGTACATCGAAATATCAGTGAAACGTTTCTGATCACTACAGTACTAAATAGTACATACTAGAAATGAACGAAGACACAGTTGAATCGCGGTCGAGTTTACGGCTGTGGTACCGAGTCATCGACCACAGATACGTGCTGAACTAGCCTCCGCTAAATTACGCTAATATACAAGGTCATCATATTTTGGCTACTATTTCTTCACTTCCGGATACTAATCGCGGCATCGGCCAAATTGCGGGTTACGTCAACAGGAAAACGCTCTTGAACTCTTACGCCGACTACCGCCTCCACAATCCCCGCCAAAATCGGGAGGCGGGGCTAGAAGGTCAGATCCGGTTACGCTGCTATGCTGTCGCTGTCATAAACGTCCTAGAATATGTACCGGCACGTCAGGATCAGAATGGGGTGGTGGAAAATCGATAGTTGTTACTGTCAGTTCAGCAATCCAGCAGAGTGCACCACAGTTTCTCTTCCCAGTGAACATGATACCGGCTGCAATTTACCTTCAAATACCGACCGATCTTATTTTCTAATGCAAACTATGATAGCATTTTTTAGTCCAATGTGTGCTTTTACGGAATATGTCGTCGACACTCAAACAAATAACGCTTTTGTTCGTTGCTAAATGCTGGCTGATCATATTCGTGCAAAGCGTCCACATTACGTTGGTCACGATCACGATCGGTAACAACCCGACGTATGGGTACCGGACAGCCGCTCCGCTGTACGACATCGCCTTTCCTCTTCTTAATCGCTCTTTTCCGGCGGTTTTTGAGAATTTCACCTGGATTCCTTATTATAAACCGACTAAACCGGATTCACCGTCGTGTCCGCAGTCGGGTGATCTCATGTACTCGGTTCTCGGTGAAGTGTATAATCTCGTAGAGGGAAACGATGGATTTACGGTGCTCTTTACATCCGGTCAGCTTATGACGGCGTCAGCGTAATATTTCGTTCAACATGTTTTTCTGTGTTTAACCTTTACATTTTCATGAAGGTTGCAGTCTCGAGGGAATCACGTTGGCGGAATTCGCAAGAGGTACAATATTTACGCCATCTTGTCGTCAGCGCACTGGCTTACATAACTTAATTAAAATCTCGTTAAAACAATCTGTACCAAAATTAATTTAAAACACTATTTTCTCTTGTTTTATCAGAAATGAATGTTCCGGCAGTTTTGACGTAAGGAGCTGATTTACAAAAATACAAGCGCATTATATCTCTCAACTAAAGAAGGAATATAGTGCCGCAGCTGATCCAACACTGGCCAACACGAAACGCTTCCCCACGACGGTGACATTCGGACCGGCCGGTGAAGGTAACCAAGGTCCGGCTCTGCGGGCTTTCCTCCAAAATTTCGGCTGGACAACCGTCACGGTTTATTGTGACTTACTCTCGGAAGCTCCGGCGTTATCAGCCTTCTGCTCTATTGCTTGTCGCTCTATTAAGGCACAGCTGACCGCTGTAAATTGGCAGTTCGACTTAATGCAGCAAGAATTCGATTCGAAGGGGTTTCAGCGCAGTGATTACGGACTAATGCTCAACAAGGCGAAAAGCCGATCCAGAGGTAAAACTGAATAAAAATTCCAGTTATCAAAAATAATACTTTTGTAGTTTCTGCATGTTTAGCATTTTTATACGCTGTTTCAGTACCGCATTTTGTTCTTACAGTGATCGTATTAGTTACAAGTGACGTATGGGAGTAGGATCATACGCCGGGTGTACGTACTGGATGATGACTGTCCGCCTTCCACCTGCAACATAACGGATAATCTAGTCAATCAATGCTGTGATTTGCTGTTCTCTTTTACTAGCGATGTATATGATGTCATAACGCAAAGTCTATATAAGTTCTGGTGATGCCTAATATCGGGATCAGTAGTCTGAGATTTACTTCTGAGACTGCTTCTAATTACGATTTCTAGCGTTGTGAACTGTGATGTGAATTGGATAAAGAGACAGCAATACTTGTTCCTTCTGATGTACATGATCGCTCCCGGCTTATTGCATAGAATACAGGTTTGCTCGTGACACAATCGTCCTAGCTCTTACCGATCCTCACAGGACTTACGACCGGAAGTTGTGGTTAGCTCGTTCCTGAGGGATTCCTGATCTTCTCGTGTTCCTGAATCGTTCGTCTATTTCCACCTTAGTTCTTCTGTTACAGTTTGAGAGTACGAGTGCCTACCGATTGAGCATTACAGGCGTGGAAGAGTAAAGATTGTTCATGGAGCCTTAACCGGCGTGAACGCTTATACACGACATGGCGCCCACCGGTGTCTTTTAATTTTCCCGATGTAACAGAAAATTATTGGTGGAAAGTTTGATAGTAATTTTCGGTAATAAATGGTCCGTTTTTGAAAGGCGTCGAACCGCAAAGGTACGCCGAAGGAGGTCAGCGTTCCCGATCTGGCCTAGTTAAATTATTTTCAGCGAGCTTCCTCGCAGTTGTGAGCTTCCTCACTGGTGAGCTTCCTCGCCAATTAAATTAAATTTAATTAAATTGGACCGTAGGAATAAATAGTCGAAACCTCAAAGGTCGGCTGTGTAATTCATTGGTGTCTGTGTGGGTAATTTCCGGGTTGTCTGCGCAAAGCAGTAACCGCGGCGAATAAAGCGTAGTCTGCAGTGTCAGTGTACCTGGCCTGCAGATAGAGCAGATAGTAAGCACCGAGCCACTGTCAGTGGCCAGGTGAGATAACGATCTCCAGCAGACTGATAAAGGCAAGCCGCAAGCGGTAGCCAAAATCAGCAGCTAGAGAGAGTTGACCGTGAAAAGGCAAACACCGGCAAACGGTGATTGACCTGTGAATTCTAAAAATACTGTAGCACGCAAAGTGCAGCAGTGTAATTTTAGGAAGTTGTTACAGTCGAAACCGCAAAGGTCGGCTGTTATTTAATTATCACGGAACAATTCAAACCTTAAAGGAGGATTGGGAAGTGATTGATTATTGCACAATAGCAATAACGGTATTTGTCGGAATCAGTAGCACAATCGCTACTGTAAGTATTATTTTAAATAACCGCAAAGGTTATTTAAGATAAAAAGCAGAAATGTCGGGCGGTTCGATTCCTAGAAATCGCCCACCACCGCGTAAGATTCCAGATAACAAAGTAATTATTGGGGCGTACGATGGATCGAGAGCTCAGACAAGGTTCAAATTTAACGCAAAAGAAATCCCGTTGAATTTAATGTACATCGCTCTTAATGTCGAACCACCAGAAGCACAAGATGCATTCTGTGGAAAGTCATGGATTGATTACCAGGAAATCAGGCGGTACTTAAATTCCAAAACGAGATTACCAGCACATTTTAAACCTTGGATTGAGTACGAGGGATGTATCCCTGAAGCTTACCTAGACATTACTGATGAGCAGTTTAAAGCTGCTTTGCAAGATGCAAACAGGTGGCTGCCAGAATATACGGAAGATCTGAATAGACGCAGAGAAGCGGCCCAAGCTGCACTTACAGCGTCTAAAGCGACGGGAAAAACTCCCAAAAAACAGGCAGCAAATGAGCGCGTCACGCGCGGCGCCAAGGAGAGAGTTCCAGCTCAGGCATCCGGTGCGATACTGGATGAGCCCATATCGGAAACCCCAAGCGTGGCCGAGAGTCAGACAGAACCCCAGTCGTCCCAGTCGGACAATAATTTAATAGCGTTGGCGGCTGCGGACAAAGCGGATATCTCCGAAGGATCTGAAACAAGAGCAAGTAAAAGTATTCGCGGTGGAACGATGACATTCCACCCGGCACAGCTAAAATTACATAGTTTTGTGTCAGAAAAAGACTTCGAACAACCTGATGAAGACTTCCTTACTCAAGCTAGGGAAGTTGATGAGCAGTTAGCTGCGGCAGAAACTGACCAGGACGTGGGCTTGATAGTTCGGCAAACTATGCCCGTATTGATCCAAAGTCTCCGCACGCTCATTGCATCTACAAAAACAAAAGTAGATGAAATGGGTAATACAATGTCTTTAGACGCTCGTGTAGACGCGGAACGAAACGAAAAATTGAAATTCCAAAACGATTTCAATGAGATGCGTGTTAAATTTGAAAATGAACAAATAGAAAATGATAGATTGGCCAACGAAATACGCATTGCGAATGATAATCTACACGGTTTAAGACAAGCCAACAGAAATGCGGAGGCTGCATTTAATGCAATGCAAGATGAGCGCGATACTTTAAAAGACACGAATCGTAATTTTGAAAAACAGTTGGAAGATGCCCAGAGAGATCTTTCAAACGCGAAAGCTACGATTGATGGTCTCAGTGCGCAACCAGCACCGGATTTAACGAAACAAATAAC